AAGATAAGGAACAACATAAACTGATGAACAAGGACTGATCCAGAGATGGAGAGGCATTGATTGGACTGTTGGGCTTTGGAGGGAGGGTAGGGGAGGGTGGGGGTAAGGGGGGAAGATCAACCAAAGGACTTACATGCAGGCATATAGGCCTAACCAATGGACACGGACAATGGGGGGGAGGGCAAGAGTGGGGGCGGGGGTAGAGGGTAACGTGGGGACAAGGACACATATGTAATATCTTAATCAATAAAAAATTAAATTAAGTTAAAAAAAAAAGAGGATACTGGAAACAGACCGCCAAAGACTATATATAAACTGTCATATGTAAACTGGCATAGATTACAGAAAAGTAAATAAAGATATGTCAGAATATATCAAGCTGAATGAATTTAAATATGGATGAACATAAAGATGGAATATGAGATTTCAACTGCCACATGATGAAAAAACTTTAGATCTAGCACAACATGACACTAACATTACCATCTTGATGTACATTTAATGAAAGGGAAATTTTTTAAAACCATCTGCCTACTACATATTCACATGCTAAGTTTAAACATTTTTGGCTATCAGCTTAAAAAATGAAAAGAGCAGAAAAAGTTCCCTGATGTAACTTAAAACCCTGATTGTAGAATCACACAAAGAAAGTTTTTAAAATCTATAAATCATATGTAAAATTAAAGAATTAGAAATAAGTTTCCACAGTGACAGATTTAGGTATAAAAATGTTGAATCACTATATTATACACCTGAAACTAATATAACTGATATAAGATTATTTACCAACTATGCTTAATAAAGTAATAATAAAACTGTGTTGCTGAGACACATGGATTGGTTGCCTCCCACCCTCAAACCTGCAACTCAGGCACATGACCTAGACCAGGAATCAAACCTGTAACTTTTTAGTGCAGGAACACAACACTCTACCCACTGAGACACACTGGCCAGAGCAACAGAATGCATTTTTAAATGATCTACACTGTCTACTCTTTACAAATTTTAGATACAAAACCCAAGTAGGTTTTAAATAAAAGTATAAAAATATATATACCACCCAAAAGAAACCTGAAGTGGGTATCTTAATATCAGACTAAAAAAATTATACGACAAAAAACATATTACTAGAAGCAAAGAGAGACATTTTATAATAATAAAAAGTATCAAAAAGACATAATAATTATAAACATATATTCAACTATGAATAGAGCCCCAAAATCCATAAATCAAAATCTAAAAAAATAAAGCATGAAATAGACAATTCAAAAATAATAGTGGGAAATTTCAGTGCTTCACTTTCAATAATGAACAATGATGCAGAAGATTATCAGGTAAATAAAAGATATGAGCAATACAATAAACCAAGTAGAGCTAACAGACATCTATTTAACATTCCACCAAACAATATCAAGATACACATTCTTCTCAAAGACACATGTAAAGGTCTAGGACAGATCATATCCTAGGCCATATAACAATCACTATCTTAAAAGTTACTTGAATCACACAAATTATGCCCTCCAAACACAATGTAAGAAAAATATAAATAAATAAAATTTGGGAAATTTACAATTATATGAAAAGTAAGCAGCGCACTTCTAAATTGCCAATGGATTAAAGAATAAATCACATGAGAAATGAGAAAATACTTTGAGATGAGTGAAAGCAGAAACATAACATATCAAAACTTACATAATGCAGCTCAAGCAGGGCTTACAGAGAAATTTGTAGCACTAAACTTATATTAAAAAATAAAATCCCAAATCATAAACCTAACATTTCAGTTTAAGAAACCTGCAAAAGAAAAGTAAGCCAAAGTAGGCAGATGGAAGAAAATAACAATAGGGCAGAAATAAATACAGCCACTCCAGTTTTTTTTATTATTGTTCATATGATATATCTTTCTTCATCCCTTTACTTTTATCTACCCAAGTCAATTTATAAAGTTGATTTGTTATAGAAAACATACAGGAATAAAAAGAGAAGAAAGAAAGAAAGGAACAGAAGAAATCTTTAACATTTCCCACAACGCTTTTATTTTTTAATTCACTGTGACAACCTCTGTCTCTTAATTTACATATTAGGCCATTAAAATTTAAAGTGTTTTTCTTAGACCATTTTAAGCTTTGAAAGGCCCACAGGGCAAAAAAGTGACTCTTAAAGATCCGGTGTTTGGCAAATATTTTTCTTTCTGTCTAACCCTGAATTTTATAGTAAAGACCATTCTATGGTCTGTTCTTCCCTTCTGGGAATCCTGATGCTTGTTTGTTTCCACTTTTCCTACAATAATGTAAAATTATATAAAGTTAATACAAAGCCAAGGATTTAGGAGCAAGCAAGAAGTGATTGTCAGCCCTAAGTGGTTTGGCTCAGTGGATAGAGCGTCAGCCTGCAAACTGAAAGGTCCCAGGTACCTTGGTTGTGGGCACATCCCCAGTAGGAGGTGTGCAGGAGGCAGCTGATTGATGTTTCTCTTTAAACGGTGTTTCTCACTCTCTATCCCTCTCCCTTCCTCTCTGTAAAAAATCAATAAAATATATATTTAAAA